TAGCAAAGAGGAGTTAAAGCTCAAATGAAAGATGATACTAACTTTTTTTTAAAGTTTATCTTAGCATATCTTTGTTAAAGATTTATACCTTGTATTGGTTCTGGGAAGCCGGGGGGGGGGGGGGGGGGGGGAGGGTAGGGGGTGGGAGGTAAATATTTGTAAAAGTTTTTTTTTCCAAAATGTTCAATTAAAAAAAAAGGAGCAAGGAGTGCTTGTTGCCTACTTGGGGCAGCTCCAGTTGTTACCCCAGATTTAAGACTGACATTCAGAGATGGGTTATCTGTCTGTCAGAACCCCCTCTGCTGTTCGTGCCCCCAACCTGTGTTTTGTTCCTCGGGAGGCCACATTTATAAATGATGGTTAGAAGAGACCGAATCAGACGTTCCAGAACGTCAAGAAGAATCGGAGCATCTGGGCCGTGAATATCAATGCAAGGACAGGGTGGCATCTGAAGACACCTGTCTCAACATCTTGAATGATGATTAATTCAACAAGCATTCGCTTGCATCTGCCCGACACCTGGGCCTCTTTTGAGGAAGAACAGAGGGGGGGGGGGCTCAACTTCGAAAGGCAGAAGTGGATTTTCCATTGCTCAGCGAAAGGGAGTATTTGAGACGTGAAGGAAACTGATCACCTTGGGGAAACTTGCTAATCCCCATGTCTGCAAAGATTGAACCAAAGCGATGCTTTCGCTACCCTGCGTATATTTATTGCAGCTGCCGATAATATTTTCATGGTTTCTCTCACAGTCGGCCAGATGTTTAGGCTGGATTTGGCATTTTGGTCCACCTATCAAGTCCTTCTCAAGAACCGGAGATAAGCAGATGTGCATGTTTGAAGGTGTTAAAAGGACTGCTGCAGGATGTACACTGTCGCAAGTCAAGATGCCTTTTGCAATTGACTGATGGGAATTTTGTCAATGCCGGTGTTATTCAATGGGCATTATTATGGTTTGTCACACAGCCAGCCAGATGTTTAGGCTGGACTTGGCATTTTGGCCCACCTATCGAGCCCTTCTCAAGGACCTGGGGTAGGTGGATAAAAATGCCAACTCCAGTCTAAATTTTATTATTATTTTCCTGCTGCTGCTGCATTACATTTCTGCTAACATTCTTACCCCATTAGGTTTCTCACCTGGCTCCAGGCCCTCCATCGGTCGCAGGCAAATGATGTCTCCCTTGTGAAAACTCAGAAGGTTTTCAGCATCCGTGATATGGTTCTTAATGGCAACCATGTATTGGGAGTCCTACATTGTGAGAAAAAAAGACGCATGAGTGTTTGGTTCAAAATGGTGGCACAGCTATATAGCAAAGCTATCCAGCTGGTCCATTCATCCCTGCAAGGAAGACCCCCCTGAGTGCATTTGGGGCTGTGAGATATTGGCCTCCACCTCTGCTATTCCTTGCAGCCTCCTTCCCCAACCAAATCCCCGCTCCCCAAGGTCTTACCTTCTTGAGCTCCATGATGAAGTGGTCGATCAAAGCCTTTACCTGGACGGCTTTGGGGGAGAAGAGAATCAACTTCTCATGGACCAGGTTGAACTCCAACATGTTCTTCGACGGGATGGTGACAAACAGGAGCTCACTGTAGCTGGTGGTGGTGGAGGGGGATGTGGAGAAGACAAAGGGGTCCCTTGGTTAATTGCTAATTGCAGTGGGTTTGTCTAGACCAGGGGGTCTCCAATCTTGGAAACTTTAAGCCCGGCAGAAAGTTGGCTGGGGAATTCTGGGAGTTGAAGTCTGCTGGGTTTAAAGTTGGGACGAAGGAATGGAAAGGAGTGGAGGGTGGAAGAGAGAGAAAGAGAAGGAGAGATAGTAGGAGAGGAAGAAGAAGTGTGGAGG